TGGGTCACTCATTGCGTGGGTCACTCATTGCGTGGGTCACTCATTGCGTGGGTCACTCATTGCGTGGGTCACTCATTGCCCGACGCTTTGTCATACATTTTGAATGGGCCCCTCACACTGTGGACGGGCCGTCATAATTCATTCAACTGTCGTTATTGTTACAAGTTCCCCCAGTGAATGGTTACACAAGTTGACCAATGGGTAACAATAAAAGTTCAACTGCTGGTGAGGGAAGCGTGATCCGTCATGCCTAGACTCAACTCACGCACAGATCGTGTGAGAGGTGACTGGTCACTGTTTTGTTTACCTAAACTGTAACAAAGTAACAATGGACGTTGACGTGAACTTGTGACAGAAGCGTCGCTCGTTCTCCGAGTGCTGGCGACCCGTGTGTTTGTTGGTTTTTTTACCATTGCACTCGGTCTTCATCGTCTTACTTAAATACTATTTCGTTTATTTTACCCTTGCACAAAATCAGCCACAAAAAAAAAAAAAACAACACAAAAAACTTTCTTACACTACCCAACCCATTTTCCAAAAGATTCAAGAAAATAAAACCCCCTTTGAAGTAGGTCTAGCCTTACGGCAGTCCTTATCCTGAGATCAGCCCAGGTTTGGACCTCGGAAGTGAATGATTTTGCTTTCTTCATTTTGATCAGTCCTGCCCAGGGGCGGTTTGTTAACTGGGCATGACCGGCGGTGCCGGTCAGATTTTTGTCAGCTGAACTGTTGACTAGAGGTTTATTGCTGATGACGATTTTCATTCAGTTTTAAGTAAATCCAAACAAACAAGTATCTACATTAAAAAACACCTCGCCGATTTGAAGGCGTTCAAATAGACAAGTGGGATTCACTGCTGTTTTGTCGCGACATAACCTCATTCCTTCACGTTTGTTATCGCGCCGGCTCGTAACTTTAAATCGCCTCCCGTCAAGCCGTCACGTCGCGGAACTTCGTACTACGTACGAGGCCAAACACACGGCGTGCTTGGCTTAGGCCTAGTGATGACGTCATTCCCATGGACAAATCCATCGTCAGCCCACAGAGCGATTAGGCCTAGGCCTAG